ACATTGCATGTCTGTGGCCACGATGTGCTTCCAGTTCTCCGATGTCACCCTAGTGGCAGCGTAACTTCAGATACATAACGACAAGAAATTAACTTAGTGATTTCTCACCTAAATTCAAGAATAATTTCACTAAGTTTCAGTCCCGTGCAAACTTTGTCAGTGAAATCAGTTAAGCCAGTTAAAGCATTTTTAAGCAACATTATAACTAACACTAAAAACGCTATAAAAAACAAATCTCACATATTTATCTGACTAATTTTCTCACAAATTCAGGGGTGGAAAAATTGGATTTCGTGAATTAAATTGGCATTAATATATAAAAGGGTCTAAAAAACATAAACTTCGGTAAATAAGATTGAAGCAAGAAATGAGTTCTTATTAAATGCATAACAATAGGTCCAGTTTGAACTTTTGGTCTTTATAAAAGAAAAAAAAGACTTACTAGTTTTTCTAATGTAACGGTAATCTGTTATCGTTATAATTTTGATTTAGATACTGATAATCATGGAGATGTGCCGCTAAAAAAAAATTCAGATATCACTATGCCGATCTTAACTATTTGGCACTGGGGCGTGACTAATAAACAAATAAACATTTACTTATAACCGTCATAACGATAATGAATTATTATTTGTCATAACCTATGATTGGTCACGCCCCAGTTCCAAGTCTCTAAGTGATTAACGAATAAAATTTTACTTACAGGTTTTCCCTACATCACTCAAATTTGGTCCCGATCGGCGTTTTGTTAATTTCAGTAAAATACAATAAGGACAAAAGGCAAATCAGAAGGAACAAATTTTATTGTACTTTCAACAAATTCTTCATTCGCCATGCACTTTATTTACGCTTGTTTTGAATTTTTTTGAAGAGTTGATTTTAGATCTGCGTCTTTCAAAGTTTTCTTCGTTAATTTCTTCAACCGAGTCGTCAGAATGCAGATCACCTTTTCAGATTGGCATTAGTATTAGTAATTTACCTTAACACTTGAGGAAAATCATTACCTTGATTCTTTTCGATTGTATCAGTAATATCGGCTGATGTGTTAGAGTATTGCGGTCTCATACTTTTATTTTAAAAAAAATTAATTAAATAAAATACTAATGTAAAAGATACAATGTAAATACATCATATGACCAAAGCTGGTCGCACAACAATCCATTTGAAAGTTCCTAT